AAAAAAATTCTGAAAAAATTCCTTATCAGTGCAGCTCTACAACAGCATCTTCACCCTGCTCAGCTTCGAGAAAATCGGATATACAGGTAGGGAGAGACACCCAAAATTTACAGAATTTAACCCAAAATTGCTGAAATTTAACCCAAAAAAATCCCAGAAAAAATCGCAGAAAAAATCACCCGAAAATTGCAAAAAATTGCCCCAAAAAATCCCAAAAATGTCACGGTATCTTCAGCATCTTCAGCTGCTCAGCTTCGAGAAAATCGGATACACAGGTAGGGAGAAATGCTAAAATTTACAGAATTTAACCCAAAAAAATCCCAGAAAAAATCGCAGAAAAAATGGAAAAAAAATTGCAAAAAAATCGCAAAAAAAATCGCAAAAATTCCTAAAAAAACCCCCCAAAATGTCCCGGTGTCTTCAGCATCTTCAGCTGCTCAGCTTTGAGAAAATCGGATACACAGGTAGGGGGAGACACCCAAAATTTACAGAATTTAACCCAAAAAAATCACGGAAAAAATCGCAGAAAAAATAAAAAAAAAAATCGCCAAAAAATTGCAAAAAAATGTCCCGGTACCACAACAATCAGAGCTCTACAACAGCATCTTCAGCTGCTCAGCTTCGAGAAAATCGGATACACGGGTAGGGAAAAATGGTAAAATTAGTGAAATTTAACCCAAAAAAATCCCGGAAAAAATCGCAGAAAAAATCGCCAAAATATTCCCAAAAAAAACAAAAAAATCCCATCGCCAAAAAAGCCAAAAGAAAATTTAAAAAGACCAAAAAAATCCCCCAAAAAATTCCAAAAAACCCCCCAAAAAATCCCCAAAAAAATCCTCCAAAAATTGCAAAAAATTCCCAAAAAAATCCTGAAAAATTCCCCCAAAAAATCACCAAAATGTCTCCATATCTTCAGCATGTTCAGCCTGCTCAGCTTCGAGAAAATCGGATATACAGGTAGGGAGAAATGGTAAAATTTACAGAATTTAACCCAAAAAAATCCCGGAAAAAATCGCTGAAAAAGTTCCCAAAAAATCGCCCCAAAAATCGCAAAAAAAAATCGCAAAAATTCCTAAAAAACCCCCGAAAATTTCCTGGTGCCTTCAGCATCTTCATCATGCTCAGCTTCGAGAAAATTGGATATACAGGTAGGGGGAAATGGTCAAATTAGTGAAATATAACCCAAAAAAATCCCGGAAAAAATTGCTGAAAAAATAACGAAAAAAATCACGAAAATATTCCTAAAAAATCCTGAGAATTCCCCATAATGCAGCTCTACAACAGCATCTTCAGCCTGCTCAGCTTCGAGAAAATCGGATATACAGGTAGGGGGAGACACACAAAATTTACAGAATTTAACCCAAAATTGCTGAAATTTAACCCAAAAAAATCCTGGAAAAAATCGCAGAAAAAATCACCCGAAAATTGCAAAAAATTGCCCCAAAAAATCCCAAAAATGTCACGGTATCTTCAGCATCTTCAGCCTGCTCAGCTTCGAGAAAATCGGATATACAGGTAGGGGGAGACACCCAAAATTTACAGAATTTAACCCAAAAAAATCCCGGAAAAAATC